GCGCATGCCGAAGCTTTGCGGAAATTGCCGAAGGCTAGGAAAATTCTTCAAAATATACTTTTATTACATTTAATCAAATCCAGACTATCTCCCACTGCCCTGAGGTATGGCTAAAGGCTTTCAGTTGTCATCAGACTTTGTAATTTGGGAGAAAAAAGTGAAACAGTAACTTCTGGTGATGAATAATAGGTAATAGTGCTGCAAGGTGTTGTTTTTTATCCCTGATGTACGAGTAGCTTTTTCTACAGTTTCTATAATTCTCTTAACGTATGAAAATATGCAGGTTTTCTGATATAATAAGACTTTGATAAAATCAAAACCAATAATACTTTTAAAGTCGAGAGTCGGGATAAATATCAGCAAGGTGGAGATATGTCCCGCCGGCGCTTCCGCAACAGCAAGACTGAAGGACGCAAGTTACAAAGCAAAACATGTTTAGTCAAGTTAAAGACTTAATTACCGGTTTAACTTCGGCGGCAGTGCCTACTGCTGTGAGCAACATGCGCTGTCCATCGTAATCCCCCTATCATTAACACTGTCGGGGACGTGCGCATTAGCGCGTCTGATGTAGACAGCGTGTGCTATTAAAGTGACCGGGGACTTATTAGCTATAGTGTACATACCGGTACAAGGTACTTATACTCAAATTATATTTTCATGAATTTCGCTATAAAACTTTTTTTCTTTTTGACACGTGGATTAAAAAGTTAAAACTGATAAGTCGATAAAGATGATTAAGGGGCATAACATGCAAGAGTACTCCTTACATGATGTGAAACATATTTGTACTCAATATGTTCATATGAATTGTTTCAGCAACACCAGCCATTATCAGTTATTACTGATGCCACAAGTTGTGATCATTTGGATCAATCTGTAGACAGCGAAGCTTTGGCCAATGGCTTATCAGAGCTTATTAAAAGCCTTCAGGTAATTATGGTTATAAGTGATACTAAAATGGACAGTAGTCTACATTTCATTGCCAATAGATTATCATGATGGATTTATTTATTTATTTATTTATTTATTTATTTATTTATTAATGCTCACATCAGGTGCATAGGATGCTAATTTTATACATGTTTCAGGAAGCACTGGAAATTCTACAACAAAAGACTAACAATGGTAATGTTGTAAAACATGATAGCAGTGATGAAAGCCAGCACACTTGTGATGTGCCCAGTGACTGCCAGGCTATTGCAACAACAGTAACAACAACATCAACAAAAGAAAGTGCAATTTCAGATAATCCAGTAGCAAATGATAAGCAGAGAAAAAGAAAAATACCTTCAGAAGATACAAATATTGTTCAGTTGAAGGCTGATAAAACTGAGGTGAGTCCGGATTGTTCATGATATGATTAGGAAAGTAGCAACATATTTTTAATTGTTTTATTAAGTAATAACTCTTATTTCCACTATTGTTTTAATTATAATTGCATCAGTTTAGATCATATTTTAATTGTGAATCTACAATTTTACTATTTTGTATAGTATTCATAGTTGTCAGTTTTCAATTCCCCTTCTTATGCTTTTGAGAGAAATTTCCAGAATGATTCAGTTGCAGTTTTTTCAATGACTGCACAAAGTTTTTAATATTATAAAAATGTATGTTTTTATTATTCAAAGATTGATAGGAGAATATCAGCTTTTATACAAAGAAAACGCTTAGAGGTTGATGAAAATAACAGGAGAGAGTTTTGCCATGTTTTGAATGCAGAGCAAGGTAAGCCTAGGTACATTTTTGTTATGAAAAAATATGGGCAAAAATAACTTTTTGTCAATTTTATCCCAATTTTACACAGTGCTTTTTACCTCAAATTTTAAATTTACCCATTTCACTATTGTTATAGCTAGAGACTTCTGCTGTCATAAAAATCCAATAGTAAGTTTCAAAATATGCATTTTTTCAAAGTTTTGTGATTAATCATTTTGTTGTTTCTTCGTAGAAAACAGCAATAATTGTGCAAGAACTGATGCTGTGTTCATTCCAAACTCAAGTGGGAAAAGTCATGTTAAAGGTAGGAAGGTAATAATTTGTATACCAAATGATTACATAATTTAAATGCCATTAATGTTTTTGTTAATAATTGATTGTTACAGATTGTTTGTGTGCTTTTTTAGCAGAATTATCCAGATGCTCAAATACACCCGGTTTGTTTTCAAATATATCTTGAATTACACAGGCTCTGTCACAATCATATTTTATGTACCTTTCAATTTTTGATTTCTTATTATTATGTGATGACTTCCATTGTATTTTTGTTATCATAACAAAATAAAACATTTTTATTATTTTTCAGTTTCTCATATAAATGATTCAAAAAATGATTTTACATTCTAGTTTCTAGAGTAGTGAATGCCTATGGGCCTCAGACTATCTTGAAACAAGAAGTCAGAGAAGGAGGTCCCTTTTCCAGCAGCTTGACACCCTCGGGCACAGTGCCTGTGAAGTCTGAGTTCAAGGCTGAAGATGGACTGAATGAAAGACTCATGAATATGGAAGCTCATCTACAGATGTTTACAGGTAACTACACACAAGAAGCTTTTCAGTCAAAATATATGGAGAATTTTTCATGCTATTCTGAGATTATTGTGATGATTAAATGTTGAGCAATCCATTTCTGTATTTTCATGTGAAAAATGGTTATCAAGGAATGCAGGATTTTGGTGGACCCAGGATTTTGCTAAGGGATGAGATCAGGGATTTTAGGTTGTAGACAAGGACAATTTAAATGTAACATGTTGGGCACAGGGATGAAAAAATTACTGAGTTTTGTCTCATATTCCTTGTTATTTCACTTTTGGGAGGGCAGAGAAGGTTTCTCTAAAGCTTGGAGAATTTGGGGGGTTCAAAGAATCACGTTTCCAATTGTTTTTGAATTTGTGCTGAAAACAGATCTCTACTGAAAAGTAATTGCAGTAGTTGTGATGGATATTTTAATATAAAAAAGTGTACACCAGCTGCATTTCTTCCCGACTGGATGATGATCAGATGGTGATATCATTAGTGGCTGTGTTCAGACTGTTTTCAAAATAAAACTTTCTGGTCATAATTGCTTTCCTAGACTTAAATGCCTTTTCTTAAATATTTCTTACAGAATAAATTAAGGTTAGTATTTTGTATGATGATGTTTTTAGTAAACTGTCTGGTGTGAAAAGGAAAATGGTGTAAAATCTGGATGTAAAGAAACAGTTTTTGTTTGTTAAATCTTTTTGTCAAAATAATTTTTTCAAAAGGCAACTGCAAAATAGTCCACGTTGTTTGAATGTTTGATATTTACATCTCCACCATATTTCAGAGGGAAAAAGACAAACAGATGTTTTCCAAAGGCTAAAAAAATTAGAAGAAAGGATTCTATATCTAGAAAGTATCTCGCCAGAATATTTCCAAAAAAATGTGAGTTTAATTCTTTTGCATTGAATATAATTTTGGATTATGAATTTGTTCATTTAAATGATATAAGTGGAGTAAATTAAACTTTTCTGTTTAAAAGTAAACTTGATGTAATAGAAAAGTATCTCAAACAACATTTTTTAAGACTTTTCTATTGAAGCAGTTAAATATTTGATCTTCCCGTATTGCAAAGGTCATGTCTGTCTTGTAATTTGCTGTTGTAAAAATGAGTTAGTCTAATGGGTAGATAGATTAACACCCTATGGAAAATAAATTACCTTCACAGATCCAGCAGCCAAAAAGAAGAAAAGAAAATGAACCAAGAACGAAAATGTATGGTGAATGGCAGGTGAGCTTATATAATTTTTTTTTATAGAACAATTTTCCAGTTTCTCTAATTCTAGCTTGCTGTGATAGCTTTAAATTAATTTCTTCCATAAGTGCATTAGGATTTGTGCAAGGCAATGGCCAATTTGTTTTCAGTCATGCATCTAGAAGGAGAGATTATAGGCACAATTATTTGGTTGAAGTACACTCCACAAACACAGAAAAACATTTTCATGGAAAAAGTTATCCTTAAAACACCAGTTTAGAGTGTTAAATGGCTTTTAAGGCTTTGCAATAACTAACAGTTGTAATGAGGTCAATGATGGAAAGGTTGACTTCTGGCACAAGAATTTCGGAAGCTTGCAATAAATCTGGTAAATAGTGCAAATTATCCTTCATGACCCTATCGTTTTCACAGGAAGGGTTACACAAATTCTGCACATTTTTCTTATTGGTACTCTCTCACTTCAAGTGTTCATTTTTTAATTATAATATGATAGATAATAGTACTACACTTTAGGATACAGTGATGTTAGCAACTTTGTGTTATTCTTAGAAATACCAACTTCATTAAAAATGATATGAGGATAGATATTTTGTTTATTTTTCTTTCTGAAATTTAAGGAGTTTGTATAGTTGTGAAAGATAAAAATATAATATAAATTATATATTTTTCCATTGATTGTCACAGAGAGGTCATCTATATATTTAAGTAAAAATATTTAACTTGAAGAAAAAAAAAAAGGCCAATGGGTCTTTATTTTATTCAAAGTAGTTAGGCTAAGTAAATGCTAATGTGTCAATCATTTTACAATGGACTTATTTTAAAGATAGTTGCCATAATTTGATTTTTTTTTTTCATATGCTCTTTGGCATAAAATTAACCTCAGAAGCATCATGTAGCATTATAAGTTTTAAATTTTTGAATATAGGGTATGTCAGTTATGGCATTAAAACTGAGTTCAAAAATATATTTGAATGGAATGAACTGAATGTTGAACATAGCCTTCAGGTCATAATTATGACATGAATATAGAAGTTATTAGTAAAGATCAAATGGGTTTTTAAAAAAAGTTGGCCTTGGCCCTCTAAACTGTCAACAGCTCAGAGCACTGTCCATGTTTGGTCTGTTTGTGAAAAATGCTATGCTCAGTGTGTGGTAGGAGGCGTCTGAGAGGATTAATCTCCACCCCATGGTGACTGGATGTGGCTAGATTGTGAACATGTGTACACCAGAGACCAAAGCCTCTAGTGGGGGTATGAAACTGTCAGTCATGGGGGTAAAAAATGCATGAACATAATTAACACCATGTCTTTCTGCTTGGAGCAATTTTAACTTGTCTTTAGTACTTAAAAGACTATATTTGTGGCAAACGGTCTAGAATTAGCAATTGATTGGTTTCACACAACTTATTGGTTTCACATTTGTCTTTTGCCATATGTTGGGGGCTTTGTATTCTTTTTATCTGGATTTTTCATTTGTGTTATGGAAATGCTATACAAATAATTGGAAAGGTTGGTAGCACTTGGAAATTTAGTTAATAAACTGATTCTTAATTACTTGATCTTTCTGCAAAACTATACAAATAGGAATGCCTTTGATGACCAACAAGATCAGCTAAAGAAAGACCCCAACTAAAACAGGGAGGGCACAGCTGAAAATTCGGCAATCCTATTTGGGAATTTTTCTGTTGGCCACATTTATACACAAAACCTTTGATAAAAAAAGTTACTTCTTAGTTGAACTGTGTGGCATCTAGTCAACTACAATTGAAGGGAAACTTTTTGCAAATGATTTAATTGATTATAGGATTTTATACTAGCCTGGTTTCATGGAATTGCATCTTATTGTGTTCAGCAGCATCATGTTACATGTCATAGTGCATTTTTCCCAGAGCATAAGATGGAAAAATTTTTTTTTCTAATTTGAATGTGGAAAAAGAAAAGCTCTAGAATGTGCTAGTCACTCGTAAAAATATGCTGTATTCCAATATGTATATATATTTAGAGAGAGGAAGAAACAGAATAAACCATGGGGAATAGCACAAGATGAGGTTTTACAGAAAAATATAAATGGACTATCAGTAGAAAAACTCGTTTGATGATTAAATCAAGCCAAGTCTGTTTTTCTGTCTTAAAAGTAATGTCGTAAGATTTAAATATGATGTTCAACTTTTCTGTGGATTTTAGTTTATTCTCAACCACAAAATATTTGTTCCTAATAAAGGTGTAATTAAAGCAATTATATCTTTGGTGCTTGTGGTTGTTCAAGTGAGAGTGTGTAAGCATATGGATATTTCTCAATCTTTTTAATGGACAAAACTTATCAAACTTTCAGAAACATAATTTTATTATCACAAAAATTACATTTCTGTATAGCAATCCAGGTTCTCTTGCATAGAATAGAACTAAAGAGTAGCCTGCTTTTTTATTTTTTATTTTATTTTTTATTTTTTGCTACCACTCAGTACAAGTGTTCTAATTTTAAGGAATTATTACTAAAAATACAGTATCTGTAAATTTCCTAATTTTCCACCTTATAAAAGATTGAGTAATTATCCTATATATATATTTTTTAAGTCAAAGCACATACTATGTAAGTGACCTGTGTTTTTATTCCGTTTGGTGCTAGGCAAGTAGACCAATGGTGCCTTTTTCTCTAAAGAGACCATAATAATTCTGAAGTTTCAAATAAGGAATTTTTTTAATATTGATGTTTAATATGTAATGCTATTTGTTTAATGAATTAATTGCAATATGTGTGGTGGATAGCACAAGTGGAGTAAATATTGTATGCAATGGAAGATGATGTTAATAACTAAGATGGACTTGCCAATACATGCAAAAGAATCTTGGGGTTGGATCTGTCCTCCCTTAGAAGCATTTATGTGGAAATAGTGACTTCCAAAACTGAAAATGAACTGCTCATGAACTTCTTAAATTTCTTAAAGCAAATTTTAACTTTTGGAGGAAGGGAAAGATTTTTAACAAGTTTTAATCCAACAGTAACATCTCTATTTAATAGTAAAACATATTATTTTTACGAACTACTCTTAACTTTTCTTTTTATTTTTGCAAGCCTTATTTCAATTTACTTCATTTTTTTTTAAACTTGAGATTGTTAAACAATTTTAAAATATGCGTACAATGGTTAAATAAACTTTGTTATTTTTATTATAATACAGAAAAATAGAAATTGATTATTGAGTAACAGTCAAAAAAATTTTAAGAAACAACTGTCACAAAATCTTTAAAATGATGTACAATTTTACAACAAGTTAAGATCATTGTTAGCTGCAAAATATGTGCCTAATTAAGGTTAAATTTATTCAGGTTTTCTCATATATCATATAGATTGGAGATATAAGATAAAGCATAAATCCAAGTCACTATGGTGGGGTAATGTAAATATATATTTCGAAAATGTAAATATATAGGATATATAGGTTTTTTTATTTTGCCTACTCCAAATAAGGGGTTCATGTGAAATGTAATGTCAGGGGATGTCTCTTTTCTCTCTCTCTCTCTTTCACACACACATACACATACACACACACACACACACACACACAACTAGTTGACAATAAGAAAAAAGTTATGTAAAAAGAAAATTAAGAACATTTTCTAATTTTATTTATTTGTAATTTATTATGCCTATCAGTTACTAACGTTTATCAATTTTTTCACTATTACATGAATTTTTCTTTTTATTATCCACATTAATTAATTTTTATGTATTTTCAGAACCTGAGTATACCAGACATTGACAGGAGGATTAAAGAACTTTCAGAAAAATTGCAATCAAAAGTGAACAGTCAGGTGTAACTATAAAAAAAAAGGTGGAAAAAGACCAGAGAAGATGAAATAGCCAAAATTGAGAATACAAGAAAATCACAGTTACACCAGTCAAAGAAAATTTATACTGTTATAGTTTTTGCCTCTATAACCCAATTCGGTGAATGAATATGTAACCAGACCAACAAAGAACAATGTAATGATATCAAGATTGTATGTGTTACACGAGTTGATAATTTTTAGGTAAATAAAAGGATCATGTCAACAAGTAAGTTTAAGAATGCCTCCGACGTAAATGACGAATGTTTTATTTTATTTTGTTTTATTTATGTACCAGAAAAAAATTTACCAGAGGAAACTCAGTTAAGCTGTAAGGGAAATCTTTCTTGAATGCTACATGTTCATGAAGGAAAGTTGAACGCATCTATTCCAATAAGCAAAGTGAGGTTATTTCCAAGAACATTTGTGTAACTAATTTCGTATTCACCGTTCTGATTAGGTCCACAATCATTGCCGTTTTTTATGTGACATTCTTCCACATATAATTTCAGTGATTGTGATATATCGATAAGCTTTGAACTTAAATACTGAAACACAGTTATAGGAGGAAATTCATTACTTTTTATGTCGTTTTTTTTAAATACTAAGTACTGTATGCCCGTAATGGAGTGCGGAACGAAATAAACGTGGTGGGAAACTGGAAAAATGCCCAGGGCCCCTTAAAAACTTTGTTGTGTGATGAAACAAAGTACCGAATGTCTATGAACATCCTTTCTTTAACCGGTTTTACGGTGTCAGATCGTCGTTGTCATCAGAGCGTCTTGACAAAATTGGATTGTAGCATTATCATTGTGGGTAATTGTTAACACTCCAATCTTATCATTAGTTATGGTGATCATCAATCTCATAAAAACAAAATTGATTTAGAGTTATATGACTAGGTTGAACTTTTGATAACAAGATCTTTTCGCCTCGGTTGTTCCTGTACAGTCGCACCTCGACTGCAAATGTTTTCCTTCAACCGTGAACTTAGTTTTTGTGCGCGTGCATTATTTTCGAATCTTGAGAAACAAAAAGCGCAATATGTCTTGGATCTGGAATATATTTTTTTCTTTGAAAGTCACATTTGGTTTATAAGAATAAGAAAACGACGGTCTGAACCCGGAACCTTTGGGTTGCGCCCCGCTTGTCACTTTCACCGCATACTTTACATTTCTTAAATCGCTTTTGATATCTTCAGTGCATTTCTTCTGCTGACCAGTATTGGAATTATCGATAATAATTAATGCCAAACTGTTTCGTCTATAAAAAAACATTGTTATCAATCTTTCTATTTGTATAACTGCTTTTAACTTTTGCAAAAGATTTATCTTTCACGGTTGACCTTGAAAGAATGCAATAAATGTAATAACATGCCATAGGAGGAATCCTTCCAGATGAATAGAATTATCCAAAGCTTTATATCCCAACCGTGGAGTGGATACTGCTCTTTATGTTTAATATTTGAACTAATATCAATTCTCTTCAATTTGCAGAACAGTTTGCACAATTATTATTTTTTTTCAGTTGCACGAGAACTGAAGTTTTATGTATTGTAAAAATCTCAACGCTACGCAATGTACACAGAATAACTAATTTCTTTGAATTGAAACCACGACTAGGATATTTTAACGGCGCTTACCTCATTGTCAAAAAACAATGAAACTTTATCAGTGTACAGTAAAAAAATGTTGAATCCAATTTCCTTTATGATTTTAAACAAAGATAATGAACAAACGCATCTTGAACTATTTCGTTGGAGGCTTATGCGCTTCCTGATTATGTTCACGGATGTCTGGAATGGGTAAAAAAATACCATTCGTTTGACTCTACACGGGGTTTATTGTTTGGAAATTCAATGTCCGATCAGTTCATAATATTTTATGAGAAGAAGGGGCCGTTTAACGCATTCTCTTTTTGCGTAGAAAACGATGCCACTGCCCTAGAGATAAGATATTGCTGATTACAAAACCTGATGCATTTGGGGAAATTCCTATTACTAATTTATTAGTTTTTTCCCAATTCGCGTAGTAGCGGATAACCACTTCATTGATTTACACCGCTTTAGATAATTTGACCAGTAATGAACTGCGAAATTAACGCCAGAGACTAGTATAAGCGAGAAACCGGCAATGTGAACCACCGCATACTTTCTTTATTAACGCACCAGTGGGGGCGATAGCGGTCTGATTACTGACCCCCACCAGTCATAGATATTAGATAACTAGAAATAGTTACACCCTACAGAAGACATTATCACAAACAATTTGGTTAAGTCTATCCTTTTTTTTTCCATAAGGCGAAGGCATTCTGAATTCTCAAAACTAAACTGTGTAGACCTATATAGCAAAAGACACAAATAACAAAAAAAAAAAAAAATAGTTTCGTTAACATAAATACTTTTTATTACAAACGAATGCTTGCAAACTCATATGAATTCGATTTGTACTATAGACTTTGTATGATTATAATTTGCATATACAATGAACATCAACGATTCAATTTCACTGTCTAAATTCAGTATACACTCAGAGATTCTAGAGCGTGTATCACAGTTGGTATATAATGCAAATGAGAACGAAATGCATTTTACAAGAAAAGTTATGTTTTACAATAATCACCCATTCGTCAACTGTAAGTCACTAAAACTCTGATCAGTTTATTATTGAAAGCCTTCCATTATACGTGCAATGCGTTGTTTTACACAAGTTAACAAATTCTTGTTTATTGCGCACACGCGTGCGACCAAGCAAACGTGGTGCATTGTTTTATGTTCGCTTTGCGGTTGATAGTCAACACTTGTCGAGGTAAATTTTTACAGTATAAGAAGTTCTTGGCTATTTCGGGCAAACCCAATAGTTGACAACAGTAAATTGTTTAATTCTCTGAATGTTATGATGCATTGGAACTTGAGGCAGTTTCAGATTCTCGGCGTAATTCCCGTCTGAAGTAATCTACGTTTGCTCATCGCATCAGTTTTAGTCGGTGTGGGATCCTGCACGTTTTATCAAATAACGTGTAGCAATAGGCCCGGTCCTATCCTGTCTCACAGATATCCACGTGAGGAACCCGCTATCTCCATCGATTACAATAAAGCAATACCTTACTGGCAAAAGCGTCTAATCCCATTTCGAAACACTTATCCTCGCAGTACTTCATGTCATATTGGGAAAACCTAGAACATTCGGCGGCACACAACATTATGCAAACCATTTCCGGAAGCTCGGACCGTTTTGTCCGACTTGCAGTTCTGTGAAACTGAAGCCTCCCATCTAGGTTTATCCCATCAAAATTTTCTATTGATTCCGTTTTAGAAATTTCATACTTGTGAACATATTCGTGTTGTAGCGGTATGTACCTGCATATTGTCAGTAGAAATAAGTCCAATAGTACTATCACAGTGAAAAAATACCTTGTGGAAATCTGAAAATAATAAACAATTATCATTTTCTTTTTCAGAAATAATAATAAGAAGAATTGTCTGTGGGGCTCTAAGGTACACCTACTTGTCATATAATTTGAATTTCATTATTATAAATTGTTAAAAAGCCTTTAAGAAGACGTGACCATATTTTAATTAAATTGCTAAAACATTTTAAAAAGACGATAGACCGGATTATCCTGTTTTGTCAACTTTTTTTTTAAGTTTCATATATAATTGCATTATTCGTGAATCTTTTAGTCTGAAAAAAACTTGCAAAATCAGTATTTTAAAGTTCTGAAACTGTTCAACATTTGAGCTCCAAATGTTCTATTTGTAAAATAATTATAATAAATAATAATAATAAGTGAGTTAGTAAGTAAGTAAATCTATGGTTGGCCCAATATATGATACCGAGATACTGAGTAGTAACGTATGTTATGTCGTTTTGTATTATAAGTATAGTGGACCTTTCGTCTTATTATTTCTAATACTTATTATTTTTAACTGCTCAAAACATTTCAACAAACTGATCATGAAAACATCTCAAAATCTGCGAAGACAAGAAAAAAGAAACATAAAACAACACTTTCCGCATAAATTTATGCTTGGTAATTAGCAAAATGACGTACCTGATGCATGATGTTAGTCCAACAAAGCTCTATGCTTTGCCATATAAATTCATCCGTGCTTCAAGAATTTTTCCTTCTTACAATTTGCTTTTCTCAGAGGGACGTTCTACCTTAATATAGTACTTGGCTACCAAGAATCGGAAGTAACGTTGATTGCCGCGTTTTTGAATGGAATGGTCCTTAAGTACCCGCGGTTGCAATGCGGAAAATAGCCGAAGACGGAATCTGTCAGTCACTCGTCTTACACAATAAAGATGCCGCTAATTTTAGATGCAGCTCATGTTATCAAAAATATCTCTGGCACGTGTTTCTCTCTGATGCCTTCCATCCAGCTTAGACTAGCCTTTCTGAAAACGTTTGACTTTCCTCACTTCCGAGAGGCGGGAAAAGAAGAAATGTGAAACATTTCCGCCGAGAAAAACACCTGCTAAGCAAAGTAAGCCCCATTGGTTAAATAATCAGTAAGAACCAGAAAAAATAGCTCAGAGCGCACCTTTTTAAAAGCATTTGAAGATTTATCTTCACTGCAGCCCACAATATTTGTTCTATATTTAAACATTCATAGGTGCCGTCTTATTGTTATGATTTTTCTTTTTTCTAAAGGAAACGGTTTCATTTTGCGAGGAGGTGAAACTGTACTTGCGACCGCAATAAAACATGTCCGTGAATGGAGCAATGTTCTGAAACATAAATTATATTAACCACATACAACACTAATTATTCAAGAGAAAAAAGTTAAGTTACATTAGCCAGACGTCTAGTGCGTAATTTACAAAAATTCCGGAATAAGGTCTACCGACTAAAATTAACTAGGGCTTACAGACATTACAATCAGTATAAATAATAACATTATTTTGGTTATTTCGTTACAACAGCAAATGCACGTGACTTTCAAAAGTTGTTTTTTAATCATTTTTTTAAAAATAATTTGCACCTTATCTTTTTTACACATTCTAAAATAATAAGAGAATCTTTAAAAAAGTGATCCCATTATTCTGTACATTATATCTTTTAAAGTCGCACATCCATCAAATGCACATTGCCATTTGTTTATTGTTAATGATTTACTTGCCACCATATTACGCCCCCGCACAGTAAGTACGTGGTTGGTTCGCTGAAATAGCCACACCATCACTAAAATGCGGTTTCTTAGACACTGTCGACTCGGAAATATCCTGCTGACACATTCAACTTTGTAAAACGTATGCACCTTGAACTGCAGATCAGACACGTGTCGGTTTCTTCATGTCCATCTCTCCATATCAGTAAGATTTCTGTTTCACTGTCAGTGAGGCTCTTATATCTGTGTAACTTATTTACTTATCTGTCATATGTAATTGTCATTAGTCGTAATTATCCATGTCATCAAACTGGCTTTAAACAGCTATGTAACCTTGGTTTAAGTTTAAACATATTCTTTTTGTGTAACATGTTTATAGTATGTTTATGGTAAATTTAAAATCACATCAAGGTTTATCGCATTGCTTAGATAGAATATTTTATGAGTAATTTTACTGATACGTATGTCCATTATATAAAGATGGTAATGCACTAACTGTATTGTATCGTCATTAGTATATCATATTGTACAAGGTCATGACAATCTATGTACCAGTACAGAAATAAATTGAATTGAATTGAATATATCAATGTGAAAATAAAGAAGCTGTTCCGGCTATCAAAGCTATTATAGGCTTAACCTTAATTTAACAATACTGATGCCAAGAAGTAATATTTTGCAGAGGGAAAGTAGAGGAAAAAGTAGTTTGAATCTGTGTCTTATTTCTTTACTCCATAAATACTCACTACGAATCTCTCCCGTCTCCCAGGATTATTAGTCACCTATAGACTGCAAATTGCTTGCATGACGGTCCTCAGTGATATGGTGAACATAGTGCTTCTCACTGTGGAGAGGCTCAACAAACACAACGACAGTTAAAATATATTTTGGGGGATATTCATAGTTTAAGCATTTTCTATTCTCCCCAGAATTTTCTTACTTTACCTTCATTCAGTGTCTAGATCAGTACCACAAATAACCTGCTTGCGTCCAGACGGTACCTACCGTAGAGGGTAGCCTACCTATCAACAGCTTCCCACCCCACAATTTTCTCAGCCGTTGGTATACATCTTTAGCCCACTAGTATAAGATTATACGCAGAACGTGCATATTGGAGCTATAAATACTAATTTTCTGTCTAATATTCTATTTCACTGTGCATTTGTTAAATACGTAGGCCTATACTTTTCTTCTCAGAATCCTATAGTAATAGTGACTTTTTTTTTTTGAAGAACACAGTCATGCAATCTTTAAAAACAAGATTTCAGAGCAATGGATTTTCTAAAATTGCCACAGAGTTATGGCGAATGTCAGGTTGGTAAGTGGGTGAAAAATATCGTTTACCCCAGGAAATTTCGTTAGATGTTAGTTTTTCGCTGAAAAATCTTGCGCTGAATCCCTTTATTTATGTACAGCATTACTAAATATTGGAAGATTAAAAATTTGAACCTTATAAAAATAACTTTCCCCCTAAGTTTTTGTCCTTGCGTAAATAATTTAATTTTCCACAGAGGCGAGTTAGTGGACATGCTTATGATAACATTAATATAAACAACAGACGCTGCTTTACCGTAATACCGACACAATCAACACAATATTGTTTCGCATTGCTGTTGCTTGGTTGAAAAAGAGAAGTGCAACAAACACATTTGCACTACTTGGAGCTGTAAGACCGAGAAGGGATACCTAAAAACTACACTCTGACCGCTAGTAGTCTTTTACAGAATTTATTTAATTATTTTTTTGTGTGCTATTTTTAGCCCCCTGATATAAAAAGGTACCTACAGACTAGGGTGTTTGACCGCCACTACGCGCTCTTATTTCTCTTTTTCTCTCTCCCTGTTTCAAATTTGACAAAACGACCATGCGTAATTAAATAAGGGGAAAAAAGTCATGTATATAAATGACATAGAATTTCATCTGTAATTTAGTTGTTAAGACGCTCTTGACTTTCTCTTAAATGTATCTGAAATTTAATGAAGAAGCCCTTGGTTTTCTCTTACATGTACACCACTCCCGCTCTAAATTTTATGCAGTAGGCCTAATAGGTAACTTCCATTTTGCACTTCTAAACTAGGACAAAAATGGATTTGACATCAAAAACCAGCCAAACATGTATTGTATTATGTGACTTTGTGACAAAACAGTAGCTGATTGCAAGTGTACAAACGCATGATCGACAGCCAATTTACCTGGCTGGCTGAAGGCCTTTGTGTTATTGGTACTTCATATCTTTGTCCATAGAGGGCGCAATCGTTGCAGGTGCTTGGCGGAGGAATATATCTAATTAGTACTTAAATTGTTAATCATGCTTAATATTCTGTCAAAAATTAAAGAAACGAATATTTTATTGATTAAATTTTATGCGACGGAAACTTGAGCTGCTAAATTCTTTTGTTTTATTTTACTTTTTAGGATATCTACTTTTCCTCTCGGAAGTGGACTGTTTATCATCGGGGGTGTTTAGTTTCGTTTGAAGTTGTGCGGTATTCTGTGTAGTAGCTAGCGGGATGTGTGAGGAGCTTCGGCGGCATTACTAAATATTGGAAGATTAAAAATGGATTGGAAGATGTATAGAGGTATTTGGTTAACTGCAGGATGGACAGTCCTGTTTGTTATCCTCATCGGTGAGTACATGTATTCTTAAAGACTTGCACTAGTTTGACGAACGATACCCATTGTACTTGTAGTAAATAAGCCAGGTGCACTACAACTTGCACGGGTTCATTACCATTGTGCTTTGCTGACGTCGTTGGCTTGGTGTCTACCGGCATGAAGTATATTCGTGGTGTTTAACCAGTAGTAGGGTTAATTGAACGTCCCTGTCTTGTTTCTTCTTCATCGTGCATTCACAAACCAAAACAAAGCGTTTTGCCCAGTAAAACGCACGCGCTGCTTGTAAGTATCCCACCTGTAATATACAACGATCTGCAAAGCATTTAACTATGAGGACTTTACAAATGGAGTCTCATTCATTTGCCATTAAATACATGTAAAAGGGAGTTGTTTACGCCCCGCTGAATTAAACCCAGCCAGCTTATTTTATACCTCTCATTATCTTGGAGTCTAGTTTATGGTTTAGAGTTTGCTTTAAGGGCCATTTTATTATCAAACTTACATAGAAAAGAGTGAATGTTATAAACTCCTGGCCAAAAGGACCACTGTATATTAACCTGTCTGCAGCCTTTTTCCTAGAGATTCATAAAATGCACTTATATAAACTGGCTAGATCTTGTGAATATGGAGAATTGTTTTGTTGGAGAGAATTCTTAGGTTGGGTTTAAAGTGTTAATTTTTACATCATATATTAGTATCCTGTGTTTATGCGGATACAGGATTGTAATGAGGCATTGAAGTGCAGATTTTATGGTGCTAACTTCTAAGTAAGTTTTTCTTGATAATTTCTGACACTGATGATGGCTAAGTTATGACCCCATAATAGTGGTCGGCATTTAAGCAGTCCTTAAGCTGTGTATATGGCAGTGCCAGTCTTTAAGCGGTAAACTACCACAGGTAATCAGCAAACCTGTAAAACAAACACACCCTATTTAATAGTGCTTTGTATAGAAAGATAACTTAAAGTAGTCAAATTCTAACCTTAAAGCTTGCTTTTAAGTTATATTTCCTGCAGAGAATTATACATAAATTAATATTCTCATTGGTTTGATTTGGTTGGAGGTGCAGCCTCACTACAGTAAAAGAATTCATATATTCTAAAATATGCTTTGTTTAGGCTCAGCTTACTTTAAATATTGACAGTTGAATTTAGAGATTTAGTTTTAATGAAATAAGCTATCAGCACTTTGGAAGGCTACACATTTTAGCTGTTGAGAGTCATATATATTAAACATAGAAGGGAAAGGGTTACATCAGTTACATTTAAATCCTGCCAGAACATGCAATTTTCATTTAGAGCAGAGAGAATGGGGTTGTTGTTTTTGGTCTCGCAGGTCACTGCCACCTCTAAATTTGAAAGGTTTATGGGGAGAGCTCCTTAAAGGCAGTCCCATTCATAATCTGGTACTGTTCCTGACTGTATATCCCAAACTGTGGCTCTTCCCAGGGTGTTAAACTCGGATGATCACCAACAGATTATCTCAGCATGAATGTAGAAGTTACTCGATTTAACTGAATAAATAAAATAACAAGTTTCTGTGTAGCATGCATATTTTGCTGTTTATTTAACTGAATACCTGTAATGAAATCATAACAAGGCATGCCCATTAACAATTACAGTCATTGTGACTGGCCTAAGCCATATTCCACTATTTGCAAGTTGACTACACCAATTAGCATGCAGATATGAAGTCAACAATCTGTTTTTCCTAACAGTTGTGTCAAAAAAAGAAAATAATAAAAGATAAGGAAATAAGTGAATGAAGTATTTGATATTGATCTGTCACAGTTTTGTCCAACAACACATGGAACTTTGGATGAAAAATGGAAAATCATTAAATGTCCCCTTACTAATGATGCAATGTTATTTTTCTGATGTTTCAGCGTGTGAATCAGCTTTTGCTGAGGGTGGGGAATCCGAGGCAGCTAGCCAAGGTAGAATACCACTGGAAGCGACACGATTATTTATGTTTTATGCCACTGCATGATATAATTTTTTTGTCTTTGTAGTAAGCGTTCTGTTTATTTTCTCTCAACTTTTCCAGTGAATGCCTTAATAACAAGATGCTACTAGTTGAATGTGGGTGTTGGTGCTCCAGTGCTTTTTCTTTACTGCTTTAACAAAATGAATAAGTATAAAGTGAAGAAAATAGTTTAAAATAAGTATGTATGTATCATGTCTAGTTACGTTTGGGTTTGGAGAGGTTCTTTGAGGTTCATTTGATTTTATTTGAGGGATTAGTTGTCACATGAATTGGTTAACAAATATGGTCTCAATTTGGTTAATTAATGTTTTCTTTATTTCAGCTTTTTTGTTCATTATTATAGTTTACAACAAGTGCCTTTGAGTTTCTGTCATTTATGATTATCACTTATTCAAACCAGCTGTTACACAACAGATTATTTTGTATCAGTAAGGTCATTCAGTACAGTTTAAAGAATAGCTGAAAGCAAAGTTTTATTTGTCCACTAGTTTGAAAGTAGAACATTGTCAAAGTAATTTAGACCCTTCAAACTTAGCATCGCCAGTCAAATTAAGGGCCCATTTCTCATCATTGCTTTTATCACATGTTAAATTTCATTTGCACAGAATCTGCATGTATGTTCAGGGGCACTGCAAGAAAGTAATTGCTGCACATTATATCTTCTTTTAACTTCACCATTCTTAACAGTTTTCCCATCTGAGCTTTAAAACAGTTCTTCTTTTTAAAAATAATATGGGCCTTAAAACGTTTAGCAATATCTGTTCAGTTATCCTTGAGTGCTATTTGCTTCACCATTTGTCACATACATGATTTCAAACCCTTGTATTATGGAATAGATATAAAGAACACTTTAAATTTGTTTTGTAAAAAAAGTATCTTTTCATCGATTTGTTCTTCAGGTACAACAAAGGCTCAGGATAGTTTCTATTTCCTGATCAACCCCAGCAGTCAGGACGTACTTGAAGGATCCGAAATAACATTAAACTGTGCAGTGTCAAGGGATAAACACATTGTGTACCACTGGACTATGAATGATTTACCAGTACAGAATACAAGCAGGCGATATCAAGATGGTACCGATTTGAGGATACTGCGTGTGTTGCGAGAAGATGATTTTGGTGGCTTTCGCTGTGTTGCTACAAACACTACTACAATGATTTCTTTGAAAAGTACTGAAGCCAGGCTCAATATCATGTGTAAGTACCTTTTCTTTGAAAAAAAAAAAAGAAATTATGGGTCTGGGGTCGTATGAATATAACGCTTAAGAGAAGGTTTTGTTGTAGGTTCTTTTGTTGATACCTTTTTCTTTGAAAAAAAAAACAATCATACAGATAAAAAATGTGGAGGCAGTTATAAAAAATGAAAAATAAGAAAGAATCCAAAACTTGGATTTTGTAGCCATTTTTCCCAACAGTTTTTTTATAATAAAATTTTTTTTCTCAATTGATACTTCTCCCCTTAAGGTGAAGTTTACATACCTGTCAGAACACTGGTCTTCATCTTTGTCCAGGCTGGCAACAATATTTGGATCAAGAAATTAAGAATTGTTTCAGAAGCTGTTATGTACATGCTTCAAACTTGACTTGGCATGTCCATCTTTAGTAATTTGAAACTAGAAATTTGTTTTGAATTTACTTCAAATATTTAACATGATGAAAGAGAGAGGTGTTGGCTTTGAAATAAACAAAATTGATTGGGTCTGTTTATAAAATTATGAGAGTTGAGAGATGTATGTCTGGTCTGATGAAAAAAAGAATATTTTTGCTTAAGTGGTATAAAATACAACTTTTTAAAGTGATTTTCTGTTAAATTTCTTTTTACAGCCAATTTAATTTGTATCTCATTTGTTTCAACCGTGTAAGCAAAATGCACAATACCAATAGTGTAAGGCCTTGATATGCATATTGTTATTTAGTTTTTTATGTGCATTATATAGAACTTGTGCTTAGGCAAGGTTAAGGGAAGACTTTAAATGTAACCTGCAGAGTTTAACAGGATGAATAAATCCATCATACCAGGTTGACACATACCGCCAGAAGCTTGAATAAAACAGCGCGTCGTTGGTTAAGCTTTAGAACGCGGTTTGCTGTCTAACATATCTGTGTACATTTGAATGCGGAAAGGATAGGCCAGGCGCTCAAGTGGCAAACCAAATTGACCCAGCATTATTTTCAGGCTTTCAGTTTTACTTGCCCTGCAGGGTATCCCAGTTTTCTATTTCTGCTCTAAAGAATCGTCATACAATATTTTAATATGCAAATGCGACATTTAGAGGGTGGTCTGTGTCATTTGTGTCATGTCAACATTGTCCTCTTTTCAAAGCCTGTGTGACCTGTTCTAGATCAGGGATGACTTGCTACCTTTTAACGATTAGTTTCGCACAGTGCAATATTATCAGAACAGGTTAAATGCAATGATTACTGCCTTGTCTTCTGTCACAGCAGCGACTGTAATTGTGTGGTGCAGTGGTTCAAGTTTAAAAGTGTTGATCATCTTTTATCCTAGATCACAGCTTACTGATATCATTGTACTCCAGGTCAAGTCACCCATTGTCAACTCCTAAGTTATCATTTAATTTTTTATGCACAAAAAGGGCACAAAAATTTATTGAAAATTGATGTGGAGACGCCTCCAGCAACTTGCTGTGTGATGCTATATGGTTTGTCCTATAGAATATGTGTTCTCAAAGCTGGATTTCACCTCAATGTATTCAGCATTGGGTGGTATGTTTAAGGTATGAGTGTTTTGTGCCAGTGTTACTTTTTTGGACAGCCAGACAAAATCACAAGAAAGAGCAGATATGTGAGGCGCACCTTTTTTAATGATAGTGGAGCAATATGAGGCTATCCTGTTTTTTTTTAGCATGAATTTGTAACCCTTCATATTTCACCGAAAACTTTTGAGAAGACCCTATATTTCCAGTAATACAACAACTTTTAAAGAGCTGTGACACAAGTCTGCCTAATAATATGAAACATCTTGATTTCTTATTGTAGACCACCAATTCACCTTTTTCATAATTGTATTGTTGAGATATATTATATATTGGCTGACCAGCTCATAGAGCATAACTTTATGCACTTTTTCCATCGCCTATTAATTCTCGTCTCTAGAGTTGGTGGTCTCATTGCCCTTCATATTGTCAGCATGAGTTTTACAGGTGACTTAACAGCACATGAATCAGGCAGTCTTAGAGGGTGACGCTTAACTTGCATTTGTACAATGTACTGCTGCAGGGTCTCTAGAAAATGTGCACACCTGATTTTTATCTCCACCAATAAAGGAGGTTATGTTTTCATCATCTTGTTTTTAAGTTTGCTAGTGGGAAAATATGAAGACATCCTCAGAGAGTTTTCATGATAGACAATTGTTAGGAGGGAAAGAGGAGCTGAGAGTCTCTTGTTATTTTCAGAAGACAATTTTGTATTATTTACTAGTAGATTTCATCTTGGAGGAGGAGCTCAGAGAGCGCTATCTAGCTTAAGGGAGTTTCTAGAGAACATAGGCCTTAACCCTGCAGCATGTAGTTATATTAGGTCTGAAGAGTAAATAGAATTTTTTTGACTGGATGCCATTTTGTTATCAAAATTTGACTATTGTATTCAATATTAGCTTGCAACAGAAGAGAAATTTTGAACAGTTGATCTAAGGAAATGAAGGTTCATAGAATTAGCATAGAGAGAGTTAGGTTCAGGAGTAACCAGATATGAAATGGAACAGAAGTATTTGAAAAGTAAGGCATTTGTATTGAGCTTCTCCAAGTCTGAACTGATCCTGAAGATTGAATTACCAGAGGCTTTTATCAAATAAAAGGACTAGAATGCTTCCACTTCGGTGGGGAGTGTTACCTTGCATTAAGGTAACTTACAGTAACTGGTGTATAGATTGACATCAGAAAAGTTTTGTCTGGTTCACAATGCAGTCAGTTAAATTCTGCCATAAGTACAGTTTTATCTCGTAGAAGTTTACACAGAGGATAACATTATCAACCAGTTTCTTAACCAGACTCTTGACTTTACAGGTCAGGGGAGCCATTGTGTCCAATAAACCTCCCTTTTCAATTTCACTACTGGAGTTCGGCATAAGGCAAGACTTCTTAGTTTGAAATCATCCGACCCAAGTTTTTATGCACAATAGGTTGTCAGTTTAAAGTATCACCTTATGGATGACAAAGAAATAAACTGCTCTTGACAAGGATCATTGAGTAGCAGACGACTGAAACCGAGAAGACCTTCCCCAGTCAAACCCCAACATCTGGACATTTAGATATATATATGTTTAAGTGTGTCTAAAAAGTATAGGGCAAATATTCCATTACATGTGTTAAAGATTATTGAAAAGCAGGTGCCTGAAACTGAGAAAGCCTTCTGGATGGAGCCAAATTCTATATCTTTGTAAAGGTGTATAGATTTGACATAAATCTATCATTTCTTGTGTGCAGTAGTGGACAATAGTTGTCAGATATACTGACATGATGTAAGTTTTTTGGCACAGAAAGGTTGAAGCTGTCTGGCCAAGTGCTAGCTAGGATAACAGTGACCAGTCAAGAAGAGAGGACAGGAGGACAGGGAATGGACAATAGTTGTCTTGCTTGAGCTTTTGTCTGATTATTGTTCATTTATATAGTTGAATGTACTGTTTTAAGACCTCCCTTGATATGAAGACGGTCAAAGAAATGATGATCTAAAACCCATAGGGGAGGGGGGGGGGGCAGCCTCTGCTGGGCTCTCTGGTTGTGTTTATGCTCATTTGAAATGGGTGTGAGAAGGGGCTTATACTTTCACTATTTTGTCAGATGATTTGCTTCATTTAAAAAACTTTAATAGTTTTTTTGTAGAAAGTTTACCAACTTGTGTATCAAAATGTGGCGTTAGCAATTTGTAGCCAATTAATTAATTGAGTAATTATAAATATTTCCGTATCAGTGTACCTTCTTGGTGCTAACTAGTAAGTATTTTATTCATGATAAAAACTTCGAAGCCATGCATTTTCATATGCCAATTCCCAGTACACCAATATCAAGTATTTCAGATTTCAGTTAGTACATATGTGAACTAGCTCCCAGTTGTACCACAAACTTGTAGAGATGGCTATACCCCTGAATTGCTATAATTCCCACTGTGTCTGCAGCATTTAGAAGTTGATTGTTGGTACTGAAAATACCAGTGTTTGTAATTGCCCTTAAAGAATTTTCCTGTCCCCAAGCAAAAGTGGAAGTTAATGTACAAACCATCTCATTAAAATCAGACCCTGGTGTACTAAAGAAGATTGGAAAAGAACTGAGTTTTGAGGAATGATTACAATAAGATTAGATGGGCAAATGCAATAGTTACTTGGCTAGCAGAGACTAAAGAACTAACATGCAACATAAAGGTAGTCTTATTATGTAGACAGTAATAGCAGTATAAAGGTAGTCTTATTATATAGACAGTAATAGCAGCATCATTTTAATAATATCAGAACACAATCTTGTTAATAAGAAATGCGATATTTAACTTCTGCCAAGCAGTCAAATAAAAGAAAAGGAAATTTCTATTCCCCAGGAAAACTTGCATGATGATGTATTTTCCTTAGAAACAATTGTATGAGAAACGGGGACTTCTTAATACTTGCATCAGGTCAGTCAAGTAAGCAGCAAGGTTTTTGTTTCAAATAACAACTTTTTGCTGATGAATAAAAATATTATTTTTGGCTAACACAAATGAAAAATGCATTGTTGCATTTACCATTATAACTAAGAAGATGGTACAAGTAGAAGGGTCAGCTAAACTGGGAAGTTGCTAGTGATGACAAGGAACACTCAAGAATGACTCATTTATAAGTCATGAAGCAAAAAATTAAAAAATATAAAAAATTGTCTTTGGAGATGGACTCTTTTATATTCTCTGAGCCAAAATAATTTTTAATTGCCACAGTTGTACAAAGCATTATGAACAACTGTACGCCAAAGGTGCATGTGCACATGTTCCATGTTTACCATTGTGCCTTGCTTTAATTTGCAGTGTGTACTCCACAGCTAATGATAAGGTAGATGAACATGGCACATTGTGTTTCACCTGTGCAGTCTCCATTCTTGTTTCCACACAAGTTCTATGTGTGTGGGTCTGTTTGTTATCAATGACTTAAACCTTTAAGACACATCTGGTATTTGTACAGTGGAGATAGAAATGTCAATACTTGATGTAGGTGCGTGTGA